TGATGTGTTGGTATCCATTTACTCATATAAGCTCAGAAAATAGAAGAGCAAGAGATTTTTTTTTTAATAAATTTTTTTTTATATTTTTTTTGTTTTGATTTTTATGAGATAAAATAAAAAGAAAAATAATTGCCTTTCCCCGGCAACGGCGCCAAATTTGACGAGCACTTTGTCACGGTGCGTCAAAATAATTTCAATACTAAACACTTATACGTAGTATAGCGTAGTAGAGTTCGTATCCACAGGGAAAGGAAAGATTTTATTTCTATGAAACTAGTAATGAAAAGGGGGGTTTTGGTTTTGAGTGATTTAATTCAATTAAGAAACTAAGATGAACAACCTATATGTGTTTAATTCAAAGATAAAAAGGACTTGGCATTGCTACTTTCCACTTGTTGATATATTTTAGTCGATCATTGTTATATCTATAACTTATTCCCTCTCGAATACTCAATCGGGGAGTATATCCACTTCATCGAGGGTAGTTATTAACAACGACCGTTCATTAATAACCCTTACTATTAATCAAATATAGAACAACGCCTTATACCGATTTAATAGTAGCATTTAATCTTTCTAACTCCTTGATGAAATCAATTGAGATTGATAACCTCAACACAAGCGGTTTCGGTTTAACCAACAAAATTAATCCCTCTTAAGTTTATTAACTACGACCGTGCATTAATAAACCGAAGTTACTTACTTGTGAAACCATCAACGATTAACCATCGGTTCATCGGTTCGTTGATCGTTTCTAGTAATAATTAATATATGAAACAAAACTAGTTGATCCTTTAAGTAATGTTCAAAATATTAATATGAAATATGAGTAGGGATTAATTAATATTCAAGGAAGAATATTATTAAAGAAGATGAATCCTACTATAATTAATATCAAGATGTTAACTAATTGTCATCATAGCAACACTCCCCAATGTTAATATAGAGGAAGAAAATATCATTCTAACTAATGTCGAGATGTTAACTAATTGTCATCTTAGCAACACTCCTCAACATCAATATAGAGATGGTATTAAGGAAAGAACTATTAATTAATATTCAAGGAAAGAAGTTAAGAAAATAACTCACAACTTTAATAATCAACAAGCTTCAAGAGCAACACCAAGAATGGAAGTTTAGCTCCTCATTTGGAGGCTAAACATAGCTAGAAAAATATAAAGAAATGCTATTTTAAACTGAGCTAAAGAGTATGGAAGAAGGGATCATTTTTTGTGAAGAAAAAGTGTGCTATTTATAGGTGTTTTTCAACACCTTTGGCCGGGTACCCGACCGGGTCAAGTACTCACCCGACCGGGCCCATGTCAAAATCAAATATCCTCCACGTTCTGGCGATCTTCGGCATGTTAAAGTGTCCGGGTCAAGTCAGACCCGACCGGGTGGGGTAGGGGACCCGACCGGGTGAGTGCAAAAATTGGATATTCTTCACGTTCGGGTGATCTTTGCACACCGGGTTGTCCCCTGTCACTTCTCACCCGACCGGGTAAGGTAGTGGGCCCGACCGGGCCATGCACTTTCTTTGCATTTTCGTTTTTCACTTCTTACCCGACCGGGTCAAGTGTTATACCCGGTCGGGTATTTGCTCCTGGGCAGCCAAATCTTCTTTTTCTTCACTTCAAAGTCTTCCTTTCCAACACCACAAATCCTAACTAAACTTTACAACTTACAAATAAAGACTAAAATACAATTACAACTGAAATCACATAAATGTTTACAAACTAAATAAAACGTCAAACAATTAACATAAATCAAACATAAAAACATGTAATTATGCACTACTAATTAGTGTGCATCAACACTCCTCCTTTAACCACACATTTTCAAATTTGAATCTTCTCTACTTTCTTCTATGGACCGTAGGGCTAAAGTTCACCCATAGAGTCATATGATCACCGGTTGGTGCCTCGACTGAGCAGGCCTGGGCAGCCGAAAAATTATTCCACCAAGCATCATTAACCAAGATCTGGTCCAACTTCTCCTCCACCCAATACCGAGTTCCTTTGCCCCAATCCCACGTCTATTGATATCCCTCAAATGGGAGGTCCCTTAATCTGCTACTAGATGCAGCCTCCCGGAAACCTCTCAACCTCCAAGGAGGGTGGGGAATATAGCCCTTTTTCTCCGATTCATAAAGGATATCATTAAAATCACCTACAATCATCCAAGGCATTGTGTTGTTTTCCGCTAGACCCTGAAGCATCTCTACGCTTCCCTCCTCCGCCGCATCTTCAGAAAAGCATAATAACATGTCATCCTCCACCCCGGTGCATCCTTCGCCTGCTTGATAATGCAATCCACATAATTCTGGTGTAAAGCCAGAATCGTCACTTTGAGCTCCTCATTCCAACCCAAGGCGAGTCCGCCACCACTTCCGTTACTATCCACACACTCGCAATTCTGAAATCCCTGGCAACGCAACATGTCCCTTGCTCGTTGGCCATCGATCTTGGTCTCCATCAGAAAAAGAAGAGCTGGACAATGCCCTTGTACGAGATCGGCCATCCCTTGTACGGCCGCTGCATTCCCCAAACCTCTACAATTCCAGCTAATAATACTCATGCTCCAAGAAAAGGATACCACAAGTCGGATGCCGTACCCAGACAGACACCACCGGAAAAACTTGCCTAGGAAACCCTAGGAGATGACCGCCTTTACGAAAGACAAATCTTGATAATAGGTTTACAAGTCATTTTTTTTGTTGAAGTGTAAATTGTACTCCGTAAATTTTAAAAATTCATCTTATTTTTAGAAAACGATAAAAACCCAAGTCTGGGGTCTAGAGGCCCTTTTCATGACTTATACTCCGAATATGTTTTTAAAAGAGAATATTACCCGAAATAAGACTAAAAAGGTTTGAAAATTTCAAAATAGGATTGTCATGTTTTTATTCCCAAAATAAGACTAGTTACTGACATGTTGTGGCAGTACCCGACTTCAAACATGTGAGTATTTTCTAAACTTGGCAGTAATTACTCATATTTTGGGAATAAAAAACATTACAGTCATATTTTGGAATTTTCAAACTGTTTTAGTCCTAATTCGGGAACTTTCCCTTTTTAAAATGAGTAACATGCTTGTACAAACTCATCACTTAAGTTTATTTTTTTCTTAAATTAGTTTGCCCTGCTTAAGAAGAAATGAACGGATTTTAGCATGGTGGAAGTTTTTCAGTGATAAGAACATACTCCAAGCTTATATATAGGTGATGTATAACAATTTGTAACTAAATTATATCTCCAAGCTCATAATAAAGCTCAATAAACTTAGTTTTAAATGCTATTTTATGTCCATTAACAAAATTTAATTTAATAAGTATGAACTGCAACCTGTACAATGTAGGCGATCGATTAAATTTAGTTAATATTGAATATATTGCTCCGTATGATTTAGTTAGTTAGTAGAACATGTGAGTTTAATGATTTAACTATACATTAATCTTTCAAATGATAAGTAGCAAACTAGTAATGCATGTCTAACTTGCTCTGTTTTAAACTCACATTTTATAATCAATTTTTTCCACTCATTTTTTGTACTACTAAATCACTTTTGCCACTGATTAGGTAAAAGTTTTGCTCCGTATGTATATTTCAAAGTTTTAATGTTACTCCTTACATTTTTATGTAGAATAAGAAATAAAGTTAACTTTATTTCTAGTTTAACTTCACACATTTTTATGTAGAATAAGAAATAAAGTTAACTTTCCAAGAACGCTCTTGAATAACTAAAAGATGTATAACCAAATGGGTATAATAAAGAGGTAAATGAATAATGAAATGATGGTAACACACATCAATTCAATGAAATGATGTGAAGGTAAAAGAGTAATTAAATACTAAAAACCTACCAAATATAGAAAAAAGTTAAAGTGGGACATCTAAAAAGAAAAGTTGAACTTAATTTTAGAACGAATAGATTATTTATTAGAGCATTTTTAATGCAAAAACGTGAACGGTACATACGTGGTAGAATATATCTCCTTATTTGAAAGGTCTTGTGGGTTTTTGGTATAAAAAATTTTGATAATGTCAAGCACAATGTCTAGATGTAGATATTGTGATTGTCATTTGATGGAGTATATGAGTCCAGACCCCATGACCCACATACTCCGAAGACTAAGAGGAGCACAGCTGTCATCCAGTGGGCCCTACGTCGGCCAGATGTCACCCCATCGACCAAAGAAGAGTCAATCCGGAATACGCTTCAGAAGCCAAGGAGAAGACTTGTCCTCCGTCGGCTAGTGCCCCGATCGGCCAGAGGCCTCCGTCGGCAGAGCGTCCCCATCCTGACACGGTCTTCATCGTCCGAGCGTCCCCATCCTGGCAAGGTCTCCATCGGCCGAGCATCCCCATCATGACAAGGCCTCAATCGGCCGAGCGTCCCCATCCTGGCGAGGTCTCCATCGGCCGAGCGTCCCCATCCTGGCGAGGTCTCCATCGGCCGAGCGTCCCCATCCTGGCGAGGTCTCCATCGACCGAATGTCCTCATCCTGGCAAGGTCTCCATCGACCGAGCGTCCCCATCAGAAGAAACTCACAGAACTAGACTTATAATGTAATCAGCTCAATAGATGTTTTATATTGTAATGGGCCTCCCAAGCCCAAGATTTGGGAGATCAGCCCATATTTTCCCTATAAATACTTAGTTAGTTATAAGAGTTGAAAATTCATTAATACAAATCATTTTTTTCTCTATCTTTCCCTTCTCTCTAGAAGTCAATATCTCATCATCATTATTGAAAAAAACTTATCAAAAACACATAAAACCATGAAAAAGAAAGAGCGAGAAACTATACAAATTTAATCGTTTATGTGTATTTACTCTCATGTTTTAGTCCCTCATTTTCGCATTGATGCGCCACGGATTTGCCAATTACTTTTTGCCTATAATAATTCAACTTTGCTTCCAAAAGAAAAATACGAAAGGTCGACAAGTTGGCGGTGGACAATAAAATATAGGCCCAGCTGCGGGCTGCACCACGTTGCAGTCACTTCAAGCTTGCACTTACAATAAAATGGTCAAACGAGTTGAGACAAAACTGGAAAAAACACTTCCAAAATTTCTACGTTTTTTCACCCACAATTCAATCTTTTTCCCACATGCTAATAAGAATTCAATCAAATACGTAAAATACAATGCTATAGAGATATGACAAAGAGCAAATCAAAGCTCTTTATCACAATCTTAATTTGTCTGACTTTAGACTCGAAAATTCTTTCCCACGAAGGTTTGACCGAATTGCCAATTGGCAGGGGCGACGTTCCATGAGGTGGAGGAACGGTGATCACTGGCTTTGACTCTGAAGGAGAGCGTTTGACCAACCAAATTGGCACTGGTTTGCCAGTTTTGCCCCCAGTTGCGGTTCAGTTCTATCCATTTGGTCTTCGGAGTTTTGACCCAAATCTTGACAACGTCGCCGGCACCGGCCACGTTCGTCACTAACACCAAGTTGAAGAATTGGTGACCGTTCATCATGAATCTGATTCCTCCCGGCCTACGGCAAGCCACTCTGTCCAATTTTGTAAATTCGATAAGATGTACGGTTGTAGTTATCTAAGAAAAAGGTAAAACTGAATGCGAGCCACACAAATTGTCCAAAAAGAAAAAGTGAGAAGTATTTTTTAGACCGGCTTAAGAAGGAAAAAGAGAAGTATTTTTTGGAACGGAGGGCGTATAAAACCAAAACATATACTCCGTAGTACTTCGTATTTATTAAATAAGTGCAATGTGCCGAATTTTACACTATTTTTGTTCTACTTTGACCACATTTAATTTATTTATGTATTAATAATTTTTTTTGAAAATATATTTTCAAATTTGTATCATTTTAAATTTTCAAAATCTTTGTTTTAATTTGTTTACAAATAGAGAATTATATATATTAATGGTCAAAATTGTGTAATGACAAATGTGAAAAGTTGATCGTTGCACTTATTTAATAACAAAGGAAGTAATTTCTTTGATTTATTTTTAGTGTTGATTTTTATCGTAAAATATACTATCCTCCGTATCACATTAGTTGCAACATTGGAATATATGCACTATTCATGTACTCTACTTTGACTACATTTTATTTATTAATGTATGTGAATTATTATTTTTGAAACACATTGTTAAATTTGTCTCATTACTAAGTTTTATAATCTGATTTTTATTTTATTTTTACTAATACGGAATTAAATATAATGACAGTCAAAGTTGTGCGTTGGAAAACGTGAAAAAGAGGAAGTAGTAAGTTAGTACGGAGTATTTATTTTTGCTGACAATTTTATATATAGTCTCTATTAGATCTTTAATGCAATGCACAACATCCATTGGATTATTTCTTACATTATGTATGTGTGTGAGTGTGCCTTTCTCCTCATATTCAATTCTTAAATAGTGTCACTGTATTAAATATTTATAGCGGACATTTTTTCATAATATAATACATAAATTAAAGAATTAATGACGAAGGACATGACATTCAAAATAAATAAGATGAAAATTTTAAAAAATTATAATAAAAGTGTGGTAACTTCATAAAAATGAGGATTTGAAATCGTTAATAATTCAATTTTAGAATACTTTCATCTGAACTGAATTTTTTGATCAGTTCTTATATACTCCCTCCGTCCCGAAAATGTTCGTCAAATTGACTTTTCTTAGTTAATGACAATCAACTTTGACTAATGATATTTCTTAATACGAAATTATTTAGAATATGAAAATTATATCAAAATGTTCATCATTCAAAATATTTTTATAAAAGTATAAAATTTATATATTATATACAAATATATTAATTAAAATCATCCTCCAAAGTTTGTCATCATTGACCAAAAAAAGTGATCATTATGGCAAACCTTTTCGGGATGGAGGTAATACTTGTTTTCTTAAATCTCATCTATTTAAATATGATTCGATCTCATCTAAATATGTCTAGACAGACTAAAATTGATGATATTTAATACTCCCTCCGTCCCGAATTGAATTGCAAACTTTGATCGACCCAAAGATTAAGAAATGATAATAAATGATGTTTGCTTTTTACACTTTTGTTCATCTTTCTAAAAGTAGATGCCTTTAAGTTAATAGGAGAAAAGTAAAAGTAGGGGTGAATTTGTCACTTTATTCTTATTTACATACCTAAAATAGAAAGTGGAAAATCATTTTGGGACAACCAAAAAAGAAAATTTTGCAAATCAAATTGGGACGGAGGGAGTACGAATTTAGCTCCTCTCCGGTAACTGGAGTTCTCCATTAGGAGAGAGATAGAGTGAGATGGGGAAATGGTGGGGGAGAGAGAAAGAAAAGATGGGGTTTAATTATTTTTTAAGGAGAGAGATAGAATGAAAAAGAAATGGAGAGAGCAAATGGAGAGAAGAAAATGGAGAGGAGTATGACTCATTTAATACTACATTCGTCCCAAAAAACTTTGTCATTTTTTAAACTTTAATCGACTATATCTTTTTATTGAAAATTATTTATAATTTAAAAATTATATCAAAATGTTCTTTGTTCAAAGTACTCTCATAAAAGTATAAAATTTATAATTTCCATAATATTATACTAATCAAAATCAATGTTCAATTTTTTTGAAATGACAAAGTTTTTTGGGACGGAGGTAGTATGATTCTCCTTCCGTCCGAATAAGGTTGACCAAATTTTCTTTTTTAGATGTCCCAAAAAGATTTGTCATTTCCATTTAAAGTAAGGAATATGTGACTATAATTAATTCTCTGTCCTCTGCACAAATTTCAATCATACCATTTTTACTTTATTAATCCACGTGAAAGTCAACTTTGGCCAACCTTTTTGGGACGGAGGAAGTATTACTAGTACTACCTAGGTCCCAAATTGATTTGCAAATTTGACTTCTCTTGGTCAAACAGTTTCATTTTATTGGTTTAATTAGGATGTCAATTTGTAATTATATTCTAATTTGGGGTTTGCAATTTTGAAGATATTTTAATGTAGTTTCTGAATGTGTAAATTTTAATTATTAAAAATTGAATTAATTATCGATATGGAGCATTGACTTTTATTATTGGTTGACGAAAAAATGTTGACTTTGCAAAACAATTTGGGACGGTGTTGTGTATGGTCTAAGTTTGATCAAGTCTATTAAAGTCTACATCAAGCTTGACTCGATCTAGTTTTGTATGTATATAGACTTTGTGAAGTTTGTGAAAACATGGAATATGTTTTTATTTTGTGCCCATTGTGAAACACATTTTAAATTTCAAATCCACATTTACATACAAATATATTGGTTAATCTTAACATTACACTTCACTTTGACATATTAAAAAGAGAAAATTAACCCACATATGACTAAAATTTAATGTGTTTCCCAAAATATGACTTCTATCTTTTTTCTTCCCAATATGATAGTGTTTCGTATGTATAAAACTAATATTTAATCATATTTTGGGATGTACAAAAGTAGTAGTCATATATTCTGAAATTGTGAATGTTTTAGTCATATATTAGTAAATATCCCTGTTAAAAACTTGTTAATTGTTATGGTCAATTTATTAGATTACACTAGCCCACCTTAAACCAGAAACAGCCACATGAGAGGAGACTTGAAATCATGCAAGCTAACATACAACATCGACTCTTTGAGCAGTTTCTTAACAAAACAAGTGCAAAAGATGCGTCACGTTAATCGAGTACTTAGCTACGTATTACTAGTAATTAATATTACCGGCGATAAGAGACGGGCACAATGCCGGCGCGGTACTCGGCGATCTTCAGGAACATGGGCATGGACAGATCAAAATGTGGTCGGGGCGGGTTGCACCACCCGCCGTGGTCGTTCGACAAGGCGTAGTTGGGCGGGCAGAAGTTGGTGGCGGTTATCAAAATGGACGGGTTCCCGTCGACGCACGACTTCGGGTCGGCGCACTTGATCTCGAAGCACGCACCGCAGCTCAGCCCAGTGTTGAACAGCGCCGTGCTGAGCGCCGCCGTGTTCACGCCGTATCCTTGGCTGTACAGGTTCCCGTACCCGCACGCGCCGCCCATGGTCCCGGAGGCGTCACTCCCGCCGTAGAATGTGGCGTGCGCGGTTTCCCATGCGCTGCCGGAGTAAATCCCGGGGATTCTTGATTCGGCGGCGTGTAAGAAGATTGTGATGAAGAAAAACAGAGCGAGAATGGCACCCATTATTCTTGAATTCAAGATTTTGAGGTTTTAATTATTTCTTTGTGATTAAGATTTGGGATTTAGCTGAATAATTATAACATATAAATATGTATATATATTGAGGGAAGAGGCAGTAAGATCAGATCATGGGAAGGCTTCCGCGATTGATGGTAATCGACCGACTACTCCTTAATCAAAGGGTGGAATCCCTCTGCTTCCCACCGTTAATTCAACGCTTTGACAACATTATTTTCTAGTTCCATGCATTAGACAATGAATAAGAACGACTCTATATCCATTGTTACTAACTTCTGTATTAATTAAATGTAATTTTGAAATTCGAGAATCATTAATAGGATCTTTGTCATAATTTCCAATTAGTGGGTGGTTACTAAATGCAAGCTAATCTTTAAAGATAAATAAAATATGAAGAAATTGGCTCTCCAAAGTCCATATATCAAATTTAGGTGTGCCAAATAAATTGAACCTAGCAGTATAGAAACCCGCAACCTCACGCACACAAAGTATCATCTACACAGCTTAATTAACTCATTCACATATTACCCAAAATAAGACTAAAATAGTTTCAACATTTCAAAATAGGACTGTCATGTTTTTATTCCCAAAATAGGACTAATTATTGTCATGTTTTGGCAGTACCAGACTTCAAACATGGCAGTATTTTCTAAACATGACAGTAATTAGTCCTATTTTGAGAATAAAAAATATGACAGTCCTATTTTGGAAATTTCAAACTGTTTTAGTCCTATTTCGGGAACTTTCCCATAAATTACAAGCCCCCATTAATTTTTTTTTGAAATATATACAAATATTAAGTTTAGAAGCGTATAAACTTAATTCATGTATTAATCATTTTATTCAAAAACATCTCAATTTAATTATAAAATATAATAAAAACATAATTTAAGCATTCAATTAAATTAATTTTAGATACTCTATTAATAATATTATTAATGTAAATATAGTGTTAAAATTTATCTAATATGGAGTAAAAAATATTTACACAATATCAGGCTTGATCTACTCTCAAAATTTATCTAAAAAAGTGTTAGTTTTTTAATAAAGGTAATTTGAGATAATCAATTAAAAAATATTATTAATGTGAAAATTCTAATAAATAGTGTTGAATAGTTAAATAAATAAATAAATAAATAAATAATGCATATATACATAAATAAGTAATTTAATAAATAAATAAGTAAATCAATTAATTAATTAATTTTTAAGTAAATAAATATTTAGATAAAAAATATAATCTTCTTTAATATAACATATAATGAAGTATCTCAATTATTATCTCATACCTAATATATTCTTTAGCATTAAATCCTTTATGTTATCAGAGCTGTAATTGTGCTAATTGCTGCGATCAAACCAAAAAATCAGTGTTCATCCTCCTCTCATGGCTTCTCCATCAAACGACTCATCTCAACCCACCATATCAATTTCTACAGAAAAATCACCCACATCACAACTAATATCTCTAAATGCATCCTCTCAAATCCCCATCAAACTCTCTAATGATGGAAGTAACTACTCATCATGGAAGTCTCAACTCACCAATCTTCTCTTTCGCTATGATTTGCTAGGCTACATTGACGGATCAACACCACGTCCCGATGATAAAGACCCATCCTTCAATCTTTGGACCCGTCAAGACCGCCTCGTTCTTCTAGTGCTCCAGTCCACAGTTTCAAATTCTGTTGGACCTATTATCAACAGTTGCAAAACATCCGCTGAAGCTTGGGAAAAACTTGAAACGAGTTTTGCTAACGCATCTATTACTCGCATGCTATCTCTTCATAAGAGTCTCGCCACTACAAAAAAGGCTGGCAAATCTGTCACCGAATACATGGCCATCATGGAAGGCTTAGTAGACGATCTTGCTACTATCGGTCATCCCGTAAACCCTGGCCAAGTCATGTCTTATGTTCTCAATGGCTTTGGGAATGAATACAAATAAACTATTTCTGCTCTACGTATCCAACAAACACCTCTAACTCTCTCCACACTTCGCCATCACCTTCAACAAGCCGAGATCCTTGCCGACGATAATCTTGACACCCCTGTGTTAGTTCAGTATACCCAACGACGTTCTCACAACAACAATCATGGAAGAGGCAGTCGGGGACGTGACCGTCATTCCGCCTCAACCTTCAATCCTCATCAATATGGATTTGGATCCTCTCAATCAAATAATAATCATTCTCGCTCCTCTACTATTTGTCAATTATGTGACAAACCTGGTCATACGGCAAAGACATGCTATAACCGCAACACTCTCTCAGTCAATATGGAAGATCAGACATCTTATGCAGAAGCTAATGCAGGATGGCTTTGGATACAGGCGCAACACACCATGTAACTTCAGATCTCAATAATCTTGCCATTCATTCCGGCTATGCTGGGAATGACTCCATTGTGATGGGAGATGGTAATTGTATTCCTATATCTCATACAGGCTCCACCGATCTTGTTTCTCGTAATTGTAAATTTACACTCAATAATGTTTTGCATGCACCTCATATTCACCGAAATCTTATTTCTGTCAATCGATTCTGTAAACAAAATTGTACCTCTATTGAGTTCTCACCCGATTCTTTTGTTGTGAAGGATCTAATGACCGGGGTATCCTTGGTCCACGGCCGGGGCAAAAATAATCTCTGTCTGGTCAGACCACCCAACCCCATCTGTGGCTCATGCAACGTCTCACCTATGGCATCAACGTCTCGGTCACCCTGGTCACTCTACGTTCCGTCATGTACTCTCCACAAATAAAGTGCCGCTCAACTCTTCACCATCTCCCTGTCAACCATGTCTCCAAGCCAAAAGTCATAAATTACCCTTTCATGTGTCTACAATAAAATGTACTAGTCCATTTTAATTTGCTTTTTCTGATATATGGGGTCCAGCTCCTATATCCGTTCAGCACGGCCAATCTGCTATGATAATTTGTGGATTATCATACCAAATATTCGTGGTTATTTCCCCTAAAGCATAAATCTGATGTCTACTCTACTTTTAATCAGTTTCGGGCCCTAGTTGAAAATCATTTTCATACCAAAATAAAAACATTACACACTGATGGCGGCGGAGAATATAAGTCCCTTACCCCTCTCCTATCTCAACATGGCATCAAACATCTAATATCACCACCATATACTCCTGAACATATTGGTTCGGCTGAACGAAAACACCGCCATGTAGTTGAAAGTGCCCTCACCCTACTCTTCCAGGCAAATATCCCTCTTTACTATTGGCCCTATGCCTTTCAACATGCCATATATTTAATTAACCGCATGCTAACACCAATTCTAAATCAAGATACCTCATACCACAAGTTATTTGGAGATACACCTGACTATAAATCATTACGCGTTTTTGGGTGCCTCTGCTATCCATGGCTTCGGCCCTACACCAAACACAAACTTCAGCCCTGTTCTGAGCCATGTATATATCTCGGGTTCTCCCTCACTCAACATGCTCACCAATGTCTCAACAAAAAAACCCGTCAGATTTATATCTCACGCCATGTACTTTTCTTTGAACAAGTATTTCCCTATAAACATCCTAACTCCCTTCCCTCCACTCACACCTATAATACTGCCTTGAAATTATTTATACCTCATTCTCCAGAATCCCCTCCATCTACCTCTTTTTCTAAACCACCAATACAACTCCCTCCCCCCTCCGTCCCATACATTTCCCCCCCCCCACCCACCAACCACTATACGCATCAGGGTCGATCCTGAGGAAATGAAGGCCCTGTGCAACAAAAATAATTGGGCCTTCTTTTCAAAGTTTCAACACAAGTTAAAAAACTGAACCGAAACCGCACTGACTCAAACGGGACCCGAAAGTTGGGACTCGAACATAAATCGGTTTAATGAAGGTTTTTTGAGTTATAAAATCGGTTCAAACTGAATCGAACTGATTTTTATTAAGAGGTATTTTTAATTATTTATTTTGTAGAACAAATAGGCAATATAAAGCTTGTACGTCCTTATTTCAACAATTAGTTCATTCAGTCCAATGGGTTGATGTTTAGAGATCAACGTGCATAATTTTATTTTCACCTGGGTTCGAATCCCGCATGCCTCGCTTCTTATTTTTTTAGTTTCTAAAGCTTAAGATTCCCACACCAGTGAAAACGGAGGATTTAGTACTCCTTCGTTCCTATATATATGCTCCACCTCTAAGTAATACTACTCCCTCCGCCCCAAATTGTTTTGCAAAGTCAACATTTTTTGGTCAATCAATAAAAAAAGTCAATGCTCCCTATCAATAATTAATTCAATTTTTAATAATTAAAATTTATATATTCAGAAACTATATTAATATCTCTTCAAAGTTGTAAATTCCAAATTAGAATATTATTAAAAATTGACATCCTAATTAAGCAAATTAAATGAAATTGTTTGACCAGGAAGAGTCAAATTTGCAAATCAATTTGAGACGAAGGTAGTAGTATATTACTAAAAAAAATTGAGCCCTTCCAATTTTTTGGACCCTGTGCGGTTGGATACCCTACACACCCTTAGGGCCGGCCGTGATACGCATCACTCATTCACCACACTCCATTAATCAAACCCCCACTACATCTTCTACATCATCCTTACGTGATCAGACCCCAAATCAAAACTCATCCAGTCAACTCACCCCAAATAATTCTCCTGTTAACTCTCCCACTCATTCCACCACTCAAAATTCCCATATTCACTCTGCTCCTCCTCCAGCCGACACCAATAGCCAACTCGCTTCTTCCTATCCTCCATACCACCTCTGCTCAGTTACCGGTTGCTCCCACTTCTTATAAAAAGGCATTGTCCAGCCCGGAATGGCATCAAGCTATGACGGACGAGTTTCAAGCCCTTCAAAAAAATAAAACATGGTCTCTCGTTCCTCCTTCCTCCTCGCAAAATATTATTGAGTGTAAATGGGTGTTTCGAGTTAAACAAAATCTGGATGATTCCTTAGCACGATATAAAGCAAGACTTGTTGCCAAAGGTTTTCATCAGCGTCTCGGGATAGATTTCACGGACACCTTCAGTCCGGTTGTCAAACCGGCTACCGTCCGCCTTGTCCTTACAATTTTCGTCACTCATGGTTGGCCCATTCGCCAAGTTGATGTCAATAATGCTTTTTTTGCAGGGCACTTTATCTGAAAAGGTTTATATGCAACAACCTTCAGGATTTATTGATAAACAATTTCCGGATCATGTTTGCCTCCTTCATAAGGCTCTTTATGGATTACGCCAGGCGCCTCGTGCTTGGTATTATGAGTTGCGGTCATTTTTACTTCATTATGGATTTCATAAGAGCAAAAGTGACACTTCATTATTCATCTACTCTATTGGAAGTACTCTATGGATTACGTTGATGATATTATTTCTACCGGCAATAATTCTAAGGTGCTAATGTCATGTATTTCTTCTTTGGCTCGTCGGTTCAGTTTGAAGGATCTTGATTCTCTATCCTACTTTTTGGGTTTAGAAGCTACATGGACTCCTCAGGGATTATATCTCACTCAACATAAATGTATTCGTGACTTACTCGCACGAACTGGCATGCATTCTGCATCTGCTACTCCCACACCTATATCCTCCAGTTAGCCTCTCTCTCTTTCTCTGATGGGTCTCCTCCCCATGATCCCACCGAATATCGCAGTATTCTGGGTGCACTTCAATATTTATCCTTCACTCGTCCGGATATTAATTTTGTGGTCAACAAACTTTCTCAATATATGCATTCTCCTACTACCAGGCACTGGCAAGCGGTAAAACGTGTATTGCGTTATCTTCAAGGAACTTCTACTTATGGTCTCTTCATTTCAGCTCGCACGCCTCTGTCTCTTCATGCTTTTGCTGACGCTAATTGGGCCGGTGATCTTGACTCCCGCCGCTCTACCTCTGCATATGTGGTTTTTATTGGTTCTACCCCAATCAGCTGGAGCTCCAAAAAACAGAGTACGGTTGGTCGCTCTTCAATTGAAGACGAGTATCGTGTCATTGCCTCTGCCTCAGCTGAACTTGTCTAGCTACGCAACCTTCTTGGTGAACTTCATTTTTCACTTTGTGGTGCTCCCATAGTTTTTTTTTGATAATGTTAGTGCTATGTATGTGTGTGCAACCCAGTTTTTCACTCCCGCATGAAGCATGTTGCTATTGATTTTCACTTTGTTCGGGAACAAATCCGCAATGGCCTACTTCGTGTCACCCATGTTCATACAAAGGAACAACTAGCAGACTCATTGACTAAGCCTTTGTCACGCCATCTCTTTCAAACACATCGTTCCAAGCTAGGAGTCCTTCCACGACCGCCTCGCTTGTGGGGGCATGATAAAGTATAAATTAATAACACACGTAGCTAGTATTTATCCTTTATTTTATTGTATATGTCAACTCCAACTACTTGTATATTTTAGCCTAGCTTTTAGGATCCTGGAGCTTATCACATGTTGAGTTGTTCACCAACATGCTTTACGTAAGTGTATATATATATATGGCTAAGACCATAACATATAATGAAGTATCTCAATTATTATCTCATACCTAATATATTCTTTAGCATTAAATCCTTTAATAACAAGTGAATGGATTAGTTTAGCGATATGGTGGCTATGTTGTATGTGTGAGGTCACAGGTTCAAAGTCCGCCAAGCACGCATTTTTGAATCATTTTCTTAGCACATCTAAATTTTATGAGTTGGAAGAGCCAATGAATGATATAGAAAATGTGACGTGCTGACAAGGCATAGGTGGACGTGGTCATTGTGCCGATATGACAGATGACAAGAAAAAAGTACCCTAATTAAATTTATATTAGAAATAAGTTTAAAACTACCCCTCTTTGAAAAAAAACTCAATTATAGGAGACTCAATTATTTTAATTAATGAATCTAATTATAGGTGTAGTAATGTACAATTAATATGAGACTCAATTATTGTAATTAATGACTCTAATTATAGTAGGACTCTTGTAACGTTCCTGCTAGAACTCCTGTCTTCAGTGTCTCATTTGTGCCCATGACTCCTCTAAGTCCTAGGAATATCTCGGCATCACTAGAACTCCACCCAGGCTCGAGTTCTATTGTTCAGTCTGGCCTTGTTGTGGGTTCCAGTGACTCGTTCTTGAGCCTTAGGAAGAGTCCGACCTCCACGGGCTAACCATTGAGCCCGGCGCCTGCTGTCCAGGTCGGCTTAGGCGTGGCCAACCTCATAGTGGATTTGGATCTCCCTGTTCAGGCCCTGCGGCTAATTAATATTAATCCTGTGAAGGGCCGATCCTGTTGATAGGATTTGCTTTGATTCAATCTTGGGTCATGTTAATGATCCATGGTACCATCACGAGCTCCCTACTCTCTTGAGCTGACCAGGCTCAACGAAAGAGAGTAATTTGATTCCTTTCTCATTCTTGAAATTCTTTATTCTTGGTGGCAAGCGTGGTGAGATGGAAAGGAGTAGAGTAGTGAATGCCTCTTAAGGACTCCTTCAGGGGTTGAGGGCCGTCACATTTTGTTCACAATGGGGAGGTGCCTCATTAAAAACCTCATTAGGAAAAATCTAGTGGGAAAAAATCCTACTGAGGGAAAAAGAGTACACCGGATGCCCCCAAAATGAAGCAAGAGGGTGGACCCTTTGGCCGATGTATTTAGTTGTAATGACCGCCTGATGCATCCGGTCTGTTTTGTTCGCGACATCATCTTTGTTCGGTAGATAACCGAGACAAGCTTGAGAGATCAATATGATAGTCCTCATCCGAGTGTACCTATACAAATTTAAATAAAACTGTGGTAATTTCTGGAGTTTGCTATCAGATTTGAGCCTGAGTAAATGACCTCAAATTCCCAACAAAACAGATTCTCGTGCTTAGTAGAGTGTGACCATCTAGGACTCAACTCGCCACTCGTGGTTCATAGCCTGAATTTGATAATATAAAATTAACCTTCGGAATTGCATGTAATACTTAGTAATAGATAAATTTAAATTTTAAAGTTAAAGAGTACTTAGCTTCGGACCTGTAGTATGTGTAAGCTTTCACTTTTCTTCAATTCTGACTTAGCCCAAATTCTTCATTGGTTATCAATCCAGAGGATGTTGATAGAGAACCTTGAATTGTTGCTCATTGATGGAGTTTAATCTAACTACGAGAGCTAAATCTAACATTAGTTCGAATAAGACTCCTCTAGCGTCTCGACCATTGTGCAATGATTATCTCTTTCAAGTCTACGTTTCTCGTGCGCTCGCTCGTTTTGACAATAATTAGAAACATGTTGAATGAGAGATCAGTCTGGTTCCCTAAATTATTGTACTCTACACTGCGAGAGCGGTAAGAACTTAGTATTGACCAGCGTTGCTCAATTAAATAATTTTCATGTGATTAAGCCTGATCAGCCCCGAAATCTGATTACCCCGGAATCAATGTATGTTCCCTTTCGTCATTAATTAGAAAGAACTCTTTAATTTGATTTCTTTTTTTCGCATTTTTATTTTCTAAAAATCCAAATCTCGCACAATTGCATCTATTTTATTTTTTAATCATTGAATTTATGTAATACTCCCTCTGTTCTTTTTTAGTTGCAACATTCATTTTTTCACGTTTGCCAATGCACAACTTTAACCATCATTATATTTAATTCTGTATTAGTAAAAAATTTTTAAAAGTCAGATTATGAAACTTCTTAATGAGACAAATTCAACAATATTTTTCAAAAAAAAAATAATTCACATACATTAATAAATAAAATGTAGTCAAAGTAGAGTACATGAATAGTGTGTAAATTCCAATGTTGCAACTATTATGATACGGAGGATAGTACTTAATTCCCTTTTTTTGTCCATGTGGAGATGATACTATACTCATACTTTAGCTCTATAGTGCTACTTATTTTTAGGTGCGAGAAAAGTCACTTCAATGTGCTTTTTTTCAAAGTAGAAGTTTTTTGTGAGTATATAACTTTATGTGACTGTTTTAGTATAGTACAACCCTTATTTGACCCTTTTTCAAGTATAAAATGACACATTTTTTCGATCCACAACTTTCATTATAGTCATATACATCATTCGTTCTTTTTTAGTTGCAACAGTCTAATTTTTATATTTTCCAACATATATGTTTGACCATTAATATATTTCATTTCTTATTAGTAAAAAAATAAAAATTCATATTTTGAAAATGAGAGAAATTAAACAATATTTTGAAGTTATTAATTTATATACATTAATAAATAAAATATAATCAAAGTTGAGTATGTGAACAGGGGCGGAACTAGGGGGGAGCGAGCTGGTGCTGCCGCCCCCCGTTCGCCGGAGGTTTTAGTGTATATATATGTATATATACATGCTCAGCCCCGTCTCAATAATAATATGTACTAACTGACCCGTGTTTAACACAATAGTTGGAGTAGCACAGATGACTGAGGAGTTTTAAAGTTGCAGGGAGACCCGGGTTCGATCCTTGCTAGTCCCCTTTTTTAATTACTTACTCCATTACACTTCTTCCTCTACTTATCTCTTAACCTTTTGGAATGTTATTAGTTTTAATATTTTTCCTACCACATTTCTTTTACTTTCATGTTGCATTTTTATTTTTCAAATTCAAAATATGTACTCTGTATTTTGTACTTTTTCGAATATTAACATGTTATTTACATTTTTGTTTAGTACAAGAACAACAAAAAATGACTTTTAGCTATTGCTTCCCCCTTCAAACATTGACCTATATCATTTTATAAAAAGTTTATCAATAAACTTTTCAAAACTACTTGAATTTTATATTTATTCCTTGGGTTGGTACAAATATGCCAAAATTTCTTGTTGATATTTGAAATATCTGACTTTATATGAGTATAATTAGATTCATGTAATACTTTTGCAAAAAAAAAACATCCTTTTAAAAAATAAATAACCTACTTGTAACGCTATTTGAAAAGAGAAAAAATTATTATTTTCTTGATAAGTTAGTAACTTATATATATACTCCGTATGTTATTAATTTATCTTCCTCTACATGTTTAGCTATATTTCTATTTAAACCTTTTTATTCTAAAATAAAAGGGAAAGCGTATTAAATCGAAATAAACTCATTTAATAAATGTAGTCTATTATTTTGTTTAGGCACTAACAAATCAATTATACAAATGAATAAATGTCGATATTTAAGTTGATGTGTATATGTATGCGTGTGCTTGTGTGTGAATTATATATAGTTACAAATAAAGTGTCACTTCATGCAAATGGAAATAATATTATATAGTAATTTGAGATCAAATTACCATAAATATACCCTAAAACGATACAGATTATGAATCTTCCCAACTAGTGGTTCAAAATTTTTTTAGCCCCTGCTCAAATTTTGTTCTAGTTCCGCCACTGTATGTGAATACTGTAAAATTTATCTATATTACAACTAAAAAAGGATGAAGGTGGTATCCTGTATTCACAATATATAATTGCTCCTACTTAGTACATAAAATTATTGTGAATTTTCACTATGGATTCGTCAAAATTAATAGCGAATTTGGATGTAATACGTCAAATCCATACAAAAAAAAACATTTTGGCCGAAATATGTTTGGTACGAAATTATTAATCAACCCTACTAAATTGAGTTAATTCATGTCAATCCTATAATTCTTTCTGCAGTGGTTTGAAATTCTAAAATATCTAGATAATTTTCTTTTGTAGCCATGCAGGAATGCAAAGGTTTTATGAACAACTCCTATTTGAGAGTGCTCCAAACGAATAGCTGAAAATAGAGGAGGAGAATGGGGTTGAAAAGGTCAACGGATTCTGTGTCTTATTATAAGCCAAATTTAGCGGTCTCCGACCTCTCCTTTCTCTTGTCATTTCTTCCGGTTTATCTCCACATTTCTTTCTTTTTTGTCCCATTATTATTATACTCATTGCGCCCCTAAACTGTCTCTCCCCCTCACGCACGCGGCCTCACCTTGGTGGCGCATGGTAGTGGCCGCCGCCGCCGTGTTTCCACCTCCCCCTCGGCTGCCGCCTGTAACAACCCTAATTAAATAGTTTTATTTATTTCTATCCCATTGTTAATTGTATATAATAAAAGTTCCAAGGTAGGTATGAGAATACCATGGAAATTAGCCTTCTTCTCTTACCTGGCCGCGGTCTCTTTCTTTTGTTACCCATGCAAAGCTCAAGATTATGACGACGAGAAGCCGGCGACGCCACCTCCCGAGCAGCAGCGCTGCAACGGGATATACGTGAGTTACAACTTCCTAGGCCGCGAAAAGATATACCCATTGGTGACGAACACGTCCGCTCAGGCGTGGGCGTTCAAGGCCACCCTGACGATCCTAAACGCCGGCGCCTACGAGCTGAAATCGTGGAAGGCTTTCGTGGGGTTTCAGTACAACGAGCTGTTGGTTTCCGTTGATGGGGCGGTTGTTGTGGCGGACGGCGACGGCAGTTTCCCTATCCAGGTAGGCAAGAATGGCACGGTGTTCTCTGGGTATCCGGTTTCGGACTTGAAGACGGCAATCGACACCGCCGGAGATCTGCCGCAGATGCAGTCGCAGGTGAATATAAAGGGTACGCAGTTTGGGTTGAGGGAGAAGGCGACGCCTTTGCCGAAGAACATCAAGCT